GGATGATGGATGGATGATGGATGGATGATGGATGGATGATGGATGGGTGATGGATGGGTGATGGATGGGTGATGGATGGATGATGGATGGATGATAAGCCAACAAATAAGATTGTGTCTCGTTCACCCCAGTAGGTCATATGGACGCCTTAAGCTCAGTGACTGGCAGGAAAACTGCTGTGTTACACAGTGACATAGAAGCAGAAGGACAGTGCTGTGGAAGCACAAGAGGTGGTGACTAATTCTGCTTAACGCCTTGCCATTCTGGTTGGAAACAGAAAGTATGTGGCCAACTTTCAGAGAGGCAGGCCAGCTATTGAGTGCAGCAAAGTCAAGGGGGCACAGCACCAAGAAAGCCATAAAATGTAGCAATGTTATGACGTCCCAGGACCCAAGAGAGTTGGGTGCATTTTCAGAAGTGAAGGGATACCATAGGATGTTGGATTCTATGGGCTGAGCATAAATGGGAGGCGAGGATGCAGAAGTATAAATCAAGGAGATGGTACCATATGAGAAGGCCAGAAGAAGTGTTTGGGGTTGAGAAAGAAACAATGGGAGAGTGTGGGGAAATTTCCAAACACAAGAATTAGGAAAAAATGTATGCACAAGTCACTGCATGTATGCTGGAAATAGGTACAAAGGATGACTGTGTGTTTAAAGAGCACAGAGTAGAGTAGGAAGGCTGAAGTTTTGAACACATCGGGTCCTCAAATAGCATTTCAAGTGGTTATAAGGTTAATGAGAAAAAGTCAATTCCTACTGGTACTGCTACCTGTGTGGGGAGTTTGCAAGGTCTCCCCACATCTGAGTAGGTTTTCTCCAGGTACTCTGGCTTCCTCCCACATCCCAAAGCTGTGTTAGGTTCATTGGCGTGTCTACAGGGTCCCAGAGTGAGTGGGGGGGGGGCTGTGAGTGCCTCCTGTGATGGCCAGTTTGACCATAGCTAATAGACATAAAAAAGAGTCAAGTTCCTATGGCATATTTCTGGTCACAAAAAAATTGCCAAACGGCTCGGCGCCTATAGCTCAACCGGCTAAGGCGCCAGCCACGTACACCTAGGGTGGCGGGTTCGAATCCCCAGC